AGCTTCTTTTTTTTTAACAAGCACCTGAATAACAGATCTCATACAGCTTTAAAACTTTTGAACATACCTGAAGTGGAAAATCTCTGCAGTGCTGACCTAAAGAAACTAATGTATACTGAATTTGCATATTGTTCTAAAGTTTTTGTTGGCTGGCTCAGGAATTCTGGGAGTTGAAGTCCATGAGTCATAAAAGAGCCAAGGTTGCCTACCCCTGGCTTAGGGTATTTTGAAAACCAGCCAGTTGTGGTTTATATAGTAAATATGGTGAAACAAGCCATGCATTAGTATAATGTATGAAGTTGGCACCTGTGTGAGAGTTCACAAAAATGAGAATATGAATGTAATAAAAGGTGTCCAGATAAAGGGAGGAGAGTCTGCTTATTCCTTTGGTGTTTTTTCCCCAATCAGTTTGAGAATATGATGTTGAAATGCCTTTCTAGATGATATTCTTGCAAACTTTACTGTTCCTTACACTTGAATGTCCCAGCAGGTCAAGCTCTAGCAAAGGAAAGTCTCCAAAATGAAAAGGATCCATGCTCCTTAGAGACTTATTCACCTTAAATATGAATCAAGAGGCAACTGGAAGGAGAAGGCAAATGAAGAATGTACTGACCATTGGCACATTGTTCATAGAGTTGTTTTTTTGAGCCTTGGTGGAATCTCTAACTGATTGCAGAAGTTTTGTAGACGAATCATCAAACTGCTGTTGATAGTACTTAATGCAGTATGTATCAGAACGGGAAAGAAAGGTAGGTGAATAAACAGATTTCTGGTTAGTTATTTCAGTGAAAGTTTTGTAAATCACTTCGAATTTTTCCAAAGTGATAGAAATACGTGAATAGAAAATGATGATTTTTAAAACTGTGAAATTAAGCTATCAATATAATCAGATCATACAAGGCTGACCATTAAAGAACTGCAGTGATTGATCCCGGTAAGTATTAATTGGAATCAAATTCATAAATAGAAGGGCTGTTCTCAAGAAGGCCGTATTCCTCATGTCAATCAACTGATCTTTTTGCCAGGCTGGCGTATGCTATAGAATCTGTACTAGTGAAATTCATCAAGTGGGCATAAAAAATTTTGGACTTTAAAGCCCAACACCAATACATTTACATTGGAAATATGAGTGTAATCATTGCAGCCAATGAATAATATCCACGTCCAGTTGCTTTGCACCTATCAGTATCAATACAAATTTTCTGAGCTATCTGTAGAAGGAACCTTTACAGAAATATGGACCAATTTCCAGAATACTTTAGCCAGCAATAGGCTGGGATTGTAGTGTATATACTAGTCAGGATTAAGTTTGGAGATGATTGCAATAGACCATTAAAAACTGGAATAAAGTTTATTCTATCAAAATGTTATCTCAATATGCTGCTTAATCTGGTAAGAATTATTGCAGGCCCCATAGATTTCACATACTCCAGGGAACTTATCAAAGTCTGATTGTAAGCCACCATCCTTGAAATGTTGGGCTTCTTACGCAGAGTTCTTTCCTCTTGCCTGAGTTAAGTCTTAGTTGTGCCCAAGAAGCAGCTCCAGAAACCAGCTCAAAAGTTGCACAACAGAAAATGGAAAGAGGTGAATGTCAGTCCGAAGCTTTTAGTGATTTCATGCAGATAATAAAAGTTGAAGCAGATAGAACAGACTATTGTGGTGTCATCTAAGACCCTTTAACACAGTTCTACTTTTAGAAGTCATTTCTCCAGGCAGAGCTGGAACCATCATGTTACTGTGTTTCTCAAGACCAAGATTAATGGCCAGTCCAGGAGTATCAAAAACTGCTAAGGGATCCTTGAAGGTAGCTAGGAACTTCAAGACTTATTTAATAGCAGTTGCCTGCCCCCAGTTGTCTCTGCTGGTTCTGAGTATTCGGTTGCAGCAGTTACCATACCAAGAAAAGAAGGGAAATGTATTTTCCCAGCAAAAGCAGGGCTTTTTTTTCTCATAGAACGCCCAGAACGGAGTTCCGGCACCTTTTTTGGATGGAACCTTGTAGGGTAGGCAAGGCGGGTTGTATGACGTGTGTGAATTCTGGCATTTTTTTTTTATTTTTTTTTACAAAAAAAGCACTGAGCAAAAGTATACTGATGTGAGTGGGGCATGTCTGTTTGTATATGAAATATCTGAATGGACATTTAAAACCCCTTAAATGTGCAAAAGACAGGCTCCAGTTAAAATAGCTACACATTTGTTGGTATTAAGAGAAGGTATTTTTCCCTAGTGGAGGGCAATAAAATTCCTGGAGAATTTTGCACTCTTAATGTTATAGAAACACAGTGATGGAAATTTTATACCTTTTCTTTATTTTTCATGACTTGCTAAACCCTCTGATTTACTTTAAAACAGAAGTGTATGTGTGTGTGGGGAGGTACCACTTGTTCTCTTTGGAATATTTGCACAGATAGGAGAAACTGCATTGTTTTGCTATCCTGCCTTATTTATTTTTATTCATTATATTTTATTTATTTAATCCCACCTTTATTATTTTTACAAAAAACTCAAATAGCATACCTTTCTCCTCTTATTTTTCCTACAACAACTCTGCGAGTGAATGTGGGGCTAAGAGCAAGTGACTGACTCAAAGTCACCCAGTTGGTTTTCATGGCTAAAGTGGGACTTGAACTCATGGTCTTCCATTTTCTAGCCTGGTGCCTTAATCACTAGGCCAAACTGACTCTCGATCCAAACTGACTCTCTTATCCCCTATCCCAGGGGTAGGCAACCTTGGCTCTTTTATGACTCGTGGACTTCAACTCCCAGAATTCCTGAGCCAGGCATGCTGGCTCAGGAATTCTGGGAGTTGAAGTCCACGAGTCATAAAAGAGCCAAGGTTGCATACCCCTGCTCTATCCAAAGCTCTCTAAATACTGCTCAATTGTGATATTGTGAAGTTGCTGAGTTTGTACACATCAAGACGTGGTTTGCTTTAACCATGGTTGGTTAAATACAATGGCTAGATTTATAAGTATACTAAGACTTGATTTGCCAAACATAATGTCTTGGTTTATATACAGCTAGTCCTTGACTTACAACGGTGCTGAAAAAACTGACTTACAACTGGCTCTCGCACTTACTACCATTGCAGCTTCCCCCTAGTCACATGATCAAAATTCAGGTGCTTGTATTGTGACAGTTGCAATGTTCCAGGGTCAAATAATCGCCATTTGCGACTTTCCTAGCTGGCTTTCAACAAGCAAAGTCAATGGGGGAAGCCACATTTGTTTAATAACTATGTGATTCATTTAATAATTGCCATGATTTGCTTAAAAACTGCAGCAAAAAAGGATGTACGGTTGGGTGTGATTGATTTAACAACCACCGCACTCACTTAATGATAGAAGTTCCAGTCCCTATTGTGGTCATAAATCAATGTAAATAACCTGTACCATAGTTACCGTTTGCTCATGGGTGTAGAAAGGTATATTAATTTAATTTCTATAGAATGCAGTCTAGAAATTATATATTACAACCAGAACTTTCAAGTACATTGAGGTTACTTTTTGCTCCTGAAACAATAGTACAGGCGGTTCTCAAATTACAACCATCACTGAACCCAAAATGTACGTTGCTAAGTGAGAAATTTGTTAAGTGAGTTTTGCCCCATTTTGTGACTTTTCTTGCCACAGTTGTTCAGTGAACCACTGCAGTTGTTTAAATTAGCAACACGGGAATCTGGCTTTCCCTTTGACTTTACTTGTCGGAAGGTCGCAGAAGGGGATCACATGACCCTGGGACACTGTGCAACCATCATAAATACAAACCGGTTGTCAAGCATCCAAATGTAAATCCCATGACCATGGAGATGCTGCAACGGTCACAAGTGTGAAAAACTGTCACAAGTCCCTTTTTTTTTTAGTGCCGTTGTAACTTCAAACGGTCACTAAACGAAATGCTTTAAGTTGAGGACTACCTGTATACAGTTGTGGAACACAGTTCAATATCATGAAAGGCAACTACTTAATTTGTTTTCAGGTCAATTGAGCTGAGAGGAAGTTGTATCTCTGTATGATTACATGATCTTACCTTGCCTCTTTGCCTCATCTCCACAAGAGAGTGAGTAATTCATTTGAAACTTATCAATGAATGTAGCAGAAGAGTGTTTAATTGTTCCGCATACTGGGAGGGCAAAATTATCGGCCATCAGGGAAAGCTATCCCCATAAATGAAGAACTGTGGTCTTGCTTGTGTTTCAGACTGAAGCTACCTCCAGAGCGATGCATGGTCCACAGTCAACACAGAACAGCCTCTCTCCTCTGACTCCGAATCTTGATTGTTAAGAGTAAACTTTTTTGGATTTTCCCCAGGTAGGAAAAGAAAACTTGTTCTAGAATTTGGAAAACATGTGATGGCTTTAATCAATAAAATACTCTGGGACTCTGCTTACTCTCAATTGTAGAAATGACACATAGGAATCAGTTTTATCCAGGAAACAAAGGCATGGTCCAAAAGTCACAAGAGTGTATTGGAAATGGGTTATCCCAGGAAATCCGGAATGCAGCCTATTCTTCTGCAAAAACTCCTACCGGTGTGAGGTTTTAGTTTGGATCTGTGTAGGGTGTCCATTAGTCGCGTAAAATGTGGTTTGGGCAATTATTGGCATATAGCATCCTGTGTGGTGAAAAGAAAGGGGCATTGCCAGTGTTTGTTGGACACCTGATAAATAGCTTAGCCATATGACAGTTCTATTTTTTAGGGCAGCCAGAGGCCGGAGTCAGTGACAGGAATGCTTTTTGGCACGTAAGGCTGCTTATGGTTTAACTTCTGCACTTAGTTTTCCAAATTTCCAGTTCTTTTTGAAGGAACCTCTCTTGGTTGATGCTAGTGTAGGCATTAGGACCTGGCGGAATGCAGGCACCCTAGTCCTAGATTCCAAGCTGGCTTGCTTTGGTGACGTAAGCCAGAAGCCCTGTCTCTCTCTCCCTCTCTCTCTCTTTTTTCTCTCTCTCTGTGTGAGTGTGTGTGTGTCTCTCTCTTTCTCTTCCCCCCTCCCCTCCCTTTCCAAGCTCTCTAACATTTAAGCGAAAATGCTTCTTTCTGTGCCTCCTCGTGCAGGAATTGCCACTTTTGGCTACAACAAGAGCAACAAGAAGGTAAGGAAGCCGTCCACCCCGTGCCCCCCCCACCTCGCTTCCTATTTCCCAAGATCTTGGAAACGTCCTTGGCTTAAAGAGGGAGGGTAGGTTAAAAAAAGGAGGGTTGTGAAGGTTTCCCCCCCCAAGTCTTCCGAATATCCTGGTACCGCAGGGGAGGAGGGGGTGGCAGCGATGAAGGAAATAGGGTCTTTCCAGTTTGGGGGAGATTAGAAGGTTGCCTTCTCAAAAGGGAAACAAAATCTTTGGGGTTGGCTGATTGTAGCTCCGTTCCCTTGGTGGAAACCAACCCCCCCTTGTCCCCATTCGGCTAGCCCTCTTGCTCAGGCCAGAGTGTTCCCAAGGGCGAGTTTCAGTCTGGAGTAAAAAAAAAAAGAAAAAAAAGGGGGGGGGAGTGGAAGCAGAAGAGCCGGGGAGAACGAAACACAGGCAGTGAAATCCCATTTCACAGCACTTGCTGACTTTCCTCAAGACATCGATAGTCTCTACGTTCTTCTCAGCACCCCTGCTTCAAGGACTTTGCCTGGGGAAGCGAAGAAGAAGGAGGCGACGGATCCCCCAAGAGACTGGGGGTGGTCTCTCTGTTTCTGGAAAGAAGTCGCAGTAGAGATTGTAGACATGGGCTTCAAGTCAGAATCACGCCAAGGGCCTGGTTTTTAACCCTCTCCTGATGCTCTCCAGGGTGAGACCGACTTCTGAGCCCACCCCTCACTGGGTGTTCTTGAGGGTGGGGTTCCAGGATGTGGTTTCTATGGCATCCATGTGTTCTCAGGCAGCCTGTGCCATAAACAAGGCTCCTCTTCTCCCCCCCCCCTTTCTGTTCCCCCCCCCCCACGTCTCAGGAACGGAGACAGGAGTGTGTGTGCCTAGGAAGATGGAACCTCCAGCTTGTAAGAAGCTGTAAGGGAGTTGTAACAAATGTGTTTGCCGGGGTGGGGGGGTGGGAGTTGTATGACCACCCCCACCCACCAGCAAAGCTATCACTGGAAACCTGAAAGGCCTTGTCAGCTAGGGAAAATGCAGGTTGGCTAGCCTGGTTGGTTGCTTTGCTTGAAGATTGGGGCGTGGATTAGTTTCCCCTGTGGCAAGAAGTGTGGTTTAGTGTGGGTACAGGGCGTTGAGGCACCTAAGTTGTCTTCTCCAATGGGGTTGGGAAGGTGGGGTGCAAAGGCAGGAATTGAGAATCAAGACTTCCAGCATTTTAAAGAGCTTATCTCTATTGTTGATTCACTGAATGACCTTGTATGCCAATGTTGTGAATTTAAAAGAAACGGGGGGTGGGGGTGGGGGTGGGGGGAGTGGAGAGGAGGGGGAGGGGCTCTTTCTGCTTTTTTTTTCTTTTTTTAAAATTCCTCTGTGTCCTCTCCCTAGCCAAAAGCAGGAGTTGACAGTTTTACAATCAATGAATGGGCACATTAAAGCCTCTGTAATAAAGAGAATGGGTAGGAACCTGATAAGAAGGAGGCAGGCTAAATTTGGATTATTAATTGTGTTTGTCCATATTTGGGATGGGTATGGTAGCGGAAGGATTTCTAGCTTTTTTATCCTCCCTGTGCTTCCCCTGTCTGCCTGTTTTTGAACCTGGGTCCCATTTTTTTATTTTCTCATTCTGATTTATTGGATGATGGAAATATATACAAGTAGGCAGGCTGAACTTACAGGATGGTGGTAGGCCTGAAAAGATCAGAGAAGATTTTTGTATGTCATATACTGTTATGAACATACATATTCGTGTGTCCTAAAAGCCCACTTAAGGATAAATCACCAGGCATCTTTTAGATTTGAAGTAAAGTTGCAATTACTTCTGTAGGTTTGTGTATATGGATGTACATTTCTCACTTTTCCCACTGCATGGATCCAAATTATATGTGTAAATGGCATATGTGAGTTTGAAAACATCTTCATTATATTGTTTTATTTCTAGAGTGTTCTTAAGTGAATTTATTTGGGCTAAAATGATGGATTTTGTGCCTGTATAAGGGCTGGTTTTCTAGTAATTAGATTACCAACAGTAAGTATGGAGGAAATTCATCTTTCTGTGCCACTGATGAACAGGTGTAACTATGATAATAGGTGTGCAATCCCATTTAGGTATTTACAATATTGAATTTGTATGACAGCAAAGATATGGGCATGCATATCTGGATGTAAATAGAATTTGATCAGGCGAAGTGTCACAATATAGGTGTACGGATGCATCTCTGCAAATGAGTCTGATGGTATCTGTGCATGGTGGTGATTTGGATCTACAACAGGAGTGCACAGTCTGTGGGCTGGAGGGTTGCAGGCTTGCCTGGCATGTCAAGTGCAGCACTCCAAATGGGCTGAGCTAACATTCCCTGGGGATCTTGTGAATCTGAAGGAGTCTCTGCAAAACTTGAAGCACCAATTTTGCCCCTTGGCTTTTCCTCTCCAAATTACTAAAAAAAAAAAAAAAGGCCACATGTCATGCTCTGGCCGCATCAATAGGGAAGGCTGGTAGGCTGTAGATAGACAGCTCCTTGGCTGTACCTTTTGCTCCACTGAGATACAATATACAGATTTTTACTTCAGCTGAAAAACTTCAACTTCCCCATCGCAAAGGTGCTCTTTAGAAACAAATTTCATTAAAATCAATGGATTTCTGTTTGATTTCAGAGCCAGAGGTAGCCAGCAGAAGCTTTAGGTGCAATCCCCAGAGCCTTTGCAAAATTTGTGACCAAATTGCAGGTGTAATTTGTTACAGAAGTGGAAATTATCAAATACCTGGGGAGTAATCCCATTAACTGTTTTGAATTTACATTGAGTTAAATTGGAATTAAATCCGTTCTTGCCCTAATTGAGGGAGAAAGAGAGAGAGGGGGGGGGAAAGCATGTTTAGGATTGTAATGGTAGCCAACGGGTGTGTGCTGGCTTAGGCACCAAAACTTGAGTTTAAGAAAGCTCTGGGTTTCATCCTGTGTTTCTCTGAATCGGGTCTCATATTGAGGTTCTTTCTATTTTGAATCCATGACCACATTTGTGTGAACAATATTGCCCTTACGATGTACCTGGATTGTAGAACCTCCCTCTCAGATTATGAAAAGCTATTTTAACTACAGGTTCCCCCATTTGCATTGTTTACCTGAATGCAAGTAACAGAAATAATGCCGTTGTATGCCGTTGTATGGAAAGGAGGAGATCTCAGCCTGCATATCAATGGCACTGGCCTTTTGTGAAATAAGATTAATAATGAACTTGGTGGACATGTTTCTTTCATTACTCTGCTGTGGAAATTATACATTCAGCTTGCTTTACCATGGATCCGCTGTGTCTGGCATTAGCATCAACATGAGTCACAACTTGAGCATCCATCTGAGTCTTGACCATGTGTTGACTCAAGGATCTTAACCATGGCTTAATTGTGAGTTGTTAAATAATCCTTTCCCTCATAATTTTAAAACCACACAAACTACACAATGCCTTAGTGCAAGGTACAGATTCACTCCACTATATGTATAACTAGCCTCTAAGTGAAGCAGATGGTACAGCTTGGGGAAAACTGTATCCATCAGTAGTTAAAAGCAAACTTGGTTATTCCTTGCTGGTGAATGGAAATAGTCTTTCCTAGAAATTTAGATATTTGGACCCGACTGGATTTCTCAAGCAATTTGGGCCCGAAAAAGTGTTTTAAAATTAAAACTCTAAAAATAAAATTATAGAGCTGTTGGTTGATTGGTTGGTTTTCATATAGGAATATCCTTATTGGATCTAAAAGATGTAGAAGTTTGATGTTAGCTTCTTTGTCCAAGTATACATCTGAAAGAAAAAGCAATGGATTGGTATCTAGTGGTAGATCGTGATGTAGTCTGAAATAAATGCATGAGGTTATCTAATGGCAGTAGCAAAATTACCTATTCCAGATATATGAACAAACTCTGAGATAAAATCTGTATTCAAAATTCTTGGTTTGTAATTCAATTATCGAGGCATGTCTTTTTATACCATCTGCTTGTGAGAGGATTTCAGGGCTTTAATAAAGTTAAATCAATAAAGTATAACTTCTTCAGCTTTGAAGACCCGAAACAAGTGGTTCTTCTCTGCCCCGTTATTAAGCTGATAGCATCTCTTTTGTAGAATCAACTCTGTCCTTTCTCATTTTCGGACAACATCCTGTTTGCCCACTTGTTGGAAAAGCCATGTGATATTTTGAGATTTTTCTCTCTGGACTCTTTTTTGAAATTGACGTCCTTGTAAAAAAGATGTAAAAAAGATGTTGAGACTCTAGAAAGAGTACAGAGAAGAGCAACAAAGATGATTAGGGGACTGGAGGCTAAAACATATAAGGAACGGCTGCTGGAATTGGGTATGTCTAGTTTAACGAAGAGAAGGACGAGGGGGGACATGATAGCGGTGTTCCAATATCTCAGGGGCTGTCACAAAGAAGAGGGAGTCAAGCTATTCTCTAAAGCGCCTGAAGGCAGGACAAGGAGCAACGGGTGGAAACTAATCAAGGAGAGAAGCAATCTAGAACTAAGGAGAAACTTCCTGACAGAACAATTAACCAGTGGAACAACCTGCCTCCAGAAGCGGTGAATGCTCCAACACTGGAAGTTTTTAAGAAGAGACTGGACAGCCATTTGTCTGAAATGGTATAGGGTTTCCTGCCTGAGCATGGGGTTGGACTAGATGACCTTCAAGGTCCCTTCCAACTTTACTATTATTATTATTATTATTATTATTATTATTATTATTATTATTATTATTATTATTATTAAATGAGGTACAGCACTACACAGAGTCCAATTGGGTCGATTTTTAAAAGGCTCTTAAATGTATCTGTTTTTTCAGCTTGTTTTCAGAAACTCGAAGAATGTTTGTGTGCTCACTTAATTGTTGTATGCTTCTACTACGCTTAGATATAGAAATTTTGTTTGCTGTCAGACAAAAGTACCACTACCAGTACTACGGGGGAAGCTAGATTGAAAGATAGTGATTTTCATAAACATCATGGCTGAGTAGGGATGTGCACTGTATATGCT